TGGTGGACAACATCATCACAGGTCAGTGATGGGGAAGTTAAACTTGTTCTCTCTTGAAAGAGGATATATTCTGCTGATGTTCAGGTGTATATCAGTGTGTAGTGTCTCTGCTGTGACATGTCTCCATGCTTTAATGTACAAAAAACTCTTTATTTTTCTCATCATCCTCTGTCTGAAACCAGAGCCCAGTCTGCCCTGATTGTTTGGCTGACCATCTCTGTTGTGATAAACCGCTTAGATACGTCCCGCCACTTAGCCTATCAAGTGCAAGGTGTTGGAGCACTAACCAATATAGCAAGAGTGTCACATTGTTACAGAAGAAATCAAATGGAGGCATTTCAGGCAACGGGGGATGGGGGGGAGGTAGTGTGTGGGAGAGAAACTCCCTCTGGAGGAGGGAACACAGGGAATTTAACCTTTGCAGACCATTGAAATCTATAGAACAGTGGTTCTCGCGGATGAGTGATTGAATTAAAAAAAAAAAAAAAAAAAATTGGATTGGATTTCTTTTTTTCTTTTTTTGGGGGGAAAAAGTCAAACTTTTATTTTGAAGGCCCGATTTTCTAACGCTGTGCATGCAGTCGGCGTTGGACTGGAAGTACCGGAGACCATAAACGGTTTTGAAAACTTCTGTCTAGTAGTGATCATCTTCTCAATAAAAGATCTTTGCTGATGTTTTTTCGAGTCTTCTGGCCAATCAGAATCAAGATTGTTGCCGGAAGTCCCCACGGAGAATAACTTTGCGGTAGAACTCTTCTTTATACATCCATGGGTACAACTTCAGATAAAAAGAACACAAAATGAAGTATGACCCCCGGTTTGATGATTGACAGGTCACAGAACAATGGGAGCTATCTACCCTTACCCACAATTTAAAGTAAGTCACACAGAATATCTCCTCTTTGCTCTTCTCTCTGTGAGGAGCAGCAAGCTGTCAGAACAAAGTGAAAAACAAACAATGGCATAAAATATTATTAATATGCCGGGTAGTAATAGATTTATTTATTTTCTTCTCAGAGTGTACCAGAATGCATAGTTTATGTTAGTATTTCTAAAGATCTCCTGGGGGACAATCCCCCCAGACCCCCTGCTGGGGTTGGGTTTTCCTCATCTGTGCCTTTTTATATAGTTCAGCTTTGATTCCATCATCTCATTAAACCTTTTTTAAATGCATAATTTAGTTCCGTGAAGAAATATAAGGGATATATGCACTGTACTTCACTTTTATTAATATTGTATGCTGAAAAGCGTATATATTAAAGCACGTTTTTTTTGTTGAATAGATTTGAGTGCTTCAAAATGTTGTGTCGCGATGTATTGACCAAGTAAAAAGTGGGTCCCGAGGCCTGACCAGTTGAGAACCACTGCTATAGAACACATTACAGGAAAGGGACAACCATAATAGCGCCTCTTTAGTGACATCCCTGATTCAAATCTTCTTTATAAGTTTTATACATTTAACTTCAGCATTGGCTTTAGTTTGAAAATCATGAATATTCCGTTTCCAAAGTACACAAAAGACCGTCTAATCTTTGGTATTAAATACATTTAAAAATATTCATGCAGCCTGGTTCTCTTAATCTGTTTACACTTGTGTTTCTCTTCTCTGCAGGATGGCCATTTGGAAGCGTGGTGTGTAAGCTGAGTGGTATGGTTCAAGGGATTTCCGTGTCAGCGTCGGTGTTCACTCTTGTTGCTATAGCTGTTGACAGGTGAGGGTTGTATTTGTATTAATTGCAAATACTATGTGCTCCTTGCCCACTTCTTTGTCTTGATGCATTTCCCGGCAATTCCCTCTGCGCCAGGTTCCGCTGTATTGTCTACCCTTTCAAGCACAAGATGACCATTTCCACCTCAAAGCTAATCATCGTCATCATATGGGTCCTGGCTGTGTTCATCATGTGTCCCTCTGGGGTCATGCTCCAGGCCACAAAGGAGCATAGGGTGCGAATTGTTCTCGGAAGCAATGACACAAGCCCCTTCTACTGGTGCCGAGAAAATTGGCCCAACCAGGAGATGAGGAAAATCTACACCACTGTGCTCTTCGCTAACATCTACCTGGCTCCCCTCAGCCTTATCGTGGTCATGTACGCCCGCATCGGCTACACCCTCTGCAAGGTCGCCATCCCTAAGATGACCGGCAGTGTGAGTGTGTCCGAAGAGGGCGGGGGCAACAACAAACCCAGCATGGAGGGCCGCCTCACGATTACGAAGAAGAAGAACCGAGTGATCATGATGCTGCTGGTCGTGGCTCTGATCTTCATCCTGTCCTGGCTCCCTCTGTGGACGCTGATGATGCTGAGCGACTACGCCAGCCTGACGGAGCACCAGTACCGCGTCATCAACATCTACGTGTACCCCTTAGCTCACTGGTTGGCCTTCTTCAACAGCAGTGTCAACCCCATAATCTACGGGTTCTTCAACGAGAACTTTCGCAGGGGCTTTCAGGCGGCTTTCAAGTTCCAGCTTTGCTCCGAGGGCTTCAGGCACCAGAGGAGCTACTCCCATCGGATCAGAGGGAACGCCGTGCTCCCCGTCCAGCCCGCGGCGGTCCACAGGAGAGCGGGCTCTGAAGTCAGATCAGGGTTAGTGGAGAATGGGAAATGCTCGGAAGGGGGCAGCTTGTCTGCTAGAAGTCATATCAAAGGCCAGGACCTGACCATGGAGGTACTGAATAAGTTATCCCAGTTTTAGAGACTGCGTGAGTCTGCTGCCTCTATGTATATCTGTTCAAAGTGAATGTAAACCTCTGCAACATTTTGCATCATGAATCTTTTTGAATGTCTATTGTGAATGTTTATCATGATGTATGGAGCAAAGAGAGGCCCTGAAATTGTGATTATAAAAACGTTATTATTATTTAAAAATAAATTACGATGCCAGTGGTTGATTTTGCAACAGCCTTTGTTACCATCTTTCAGTGCAGTTTACAATGCTTCTTTGTCAGAAATACAACAGGAGAGAACAGCCAAATAGTCACATTGTTTTAATAAAGAAGTTGGTCGGAAAATATGCAACCACAATCTGTTTTCATGTTACACAGTAGCTTGATGTTTCAAACTAAAACAGGGCATCGTCAGATTGGTTAAGTTGGACGTGTTTCCTGTGACCTCCTCACAATTACAGCCACTTTGTGTTTTGCCAGTTAAATGCTTTTAATGTAAAGCATGAGATGTTGGTGTCGATGCTTTGTTTGTGTTTTTTGAAAACAAAACATTTCTCCTGCTAAAAAAGTTAGGTTGTTTCAGATAGAAAGTAGGCTACCTAGGCAACCTTTTGACATGATTAGAACAGAACAACCCTCAAGGCTGATGTGCAAAGGAGTTTGATGAGGATTTTGTCAGCTTCCTCTAGACAAAGTGCATGTTCTAGTGCCTCGAGGCAAAAGCGCTGGGTTGACGGCTGTGACAAGCAGTGGCTGGGGAGGAGGGTCTCGGGAACATGTAGAAGGCCTCCATGTGCCCTCTGTATTCTCACAGAGCACATTAAAACACTATCAAAAACAAGAAAGTTACATATAATAACTGCTGATGTATTCACCTTTAATAGTAGGGTTCTGGAAAAGAAGAAGTCTGCCTCATCTAAAGCAGAGCATCATTTCCGTTGTGGGCTGGGTTAAAGTTTATTAATATAATGTAAAATATTGCATAGCCTTTCAGAACCACTCTGAAAACGTTCAGGTTCTTGACTAACACAACATGGCGACCAACTTTTCAGCGGGTGTTCTGACTGTGAGCAAGCCTCTGCATTCAGGAGGAAAGTGTTCTTGTATTATTGCTGTGCCTATATTATAAAGGCAATAGCAGTGTGACTAATGTATGGCATTATTATGAAATGTAACTTGTGTGTGTGTTTTGACCATTTCACCACATGCAGTTACATTTAAAACCTCATACCTCAACATGTCATTTGCTAAGTGAAGAGTGGTGATACGGGAACAGGAACATGTAAGTGAGAACAAGAGTGCATATATCTGATTCCTATGATTGTTAAAAAACTAATTTGATGAAAACCCTTGTGTTAACGCATCATATTTATCATCATTATAGGATCCTTTCTTTTTTGTGTGTGTTATTGTTTGTTATAATGTTTTTCGGCCAATAATTGGCAAGCTACAGTGCATGATGTGTTAGTGCCAAAACCTTAAAGCTGGAAAATGGTTAACGTTATGGAGCATTGTTCTGACTGGGTCCCTATTGTTTTCAGGCCCATTGATACACATGTGCGTTTGACATTTTCCGGATTTTATTTTCATACTTTAATTATTGTAATTTGTAGGCGATATTGCTTCAGGACGTAGCGATGTAAGAAAAAGGTTGAGAAAATAAGTCTTCAACTAGCAAGCATTACGGTAGGATGAGAGTTCAGTGCTCTGCAAATTAAGAATGACAATGCAAATAAAGAAAAATGTACATCAGTTTGATGACAGAAAATGCAATGTATTGTATGTAATGTGCATCACTTTTAAGTGTCCCTTGGAAATTGTCACGGTGAGGCCATTTGTCCATTAGCCTTTTTATTGGCTGTTACTGTGCAGCATTTAGCTTATTTTTGCTCCATCTACACACCTCCTATGCATCAGCTCGTTAGTCCTACCCGGCTCCCTTAATTCTGCCCTCCACACACCTCCTCGGAAGCAGCCTCATTAGTCCTTCCAGCCAATCAGCTCCTCTCCTGGTTCAAGTGTTCCCTGTCAATCAGCTCCCTGCCTGGCTCCTATTTAATCACCACAATCATCTCTCCACGTGTACTTCATCCCCTCATCAGATCCGTTAACGTGTAAGATTTTATGTTATGCTCAATCCTTTATTGGATCTTTGTGTTTGATATATGAAGTTTGGTTTAGTCTTGCCTGAACCAAACCTCAAATTAAAGTTGTTTCCTCTTAAAGCCAGTCTCCTGCATTTGGGTCCAGTTTGCCACTCTTCATGACCAGAGACTGTACAGAAACATTTCCTGTTGTGTTGTTTGCTTCGTGTTGTGTCTATTTGCATGTGTTTTCTTGAGCTCTCAGCATTATTGTAAAAGATTACATATGAGGAAAGAAAAGATGTCAGCAATTTTGTTAGAGTGGAGATTTGTCCCGGCAGTCTCTGGTGCTTGTGCATGCCTTATTTGATTGTTAGTGAAGATTCCTAATGATTCTCCAAGAAACCCATTCTCCAAACAGCTGCACAGCTGTCGGGTTCAAGGATGTGTTAGTTATGAAACTGCTCCATCTTCATTATATACTGAATATATATTTTTCATATTTTGATGGTATTGGATTCAAACTTCAATTATTTTGGTTGTTTCTCATCATAACAAGCCATAGTGAAATAAATCTTAACTGTCCTCCTGCTGAGATGAATGTTAATCTGTTTAATAACTCTCTTTTGCAGTATGCTACATAGAGGTTAATAGTTAGTAGTGAAAAAAAGGACTCATTTTAAAAATGACTTTAATTAGATGCTGGCCTATTTATCTATCTGAAATCTATTTGGGAGAAGATCTTGCACACTTGTTCACAATCAATTAAGCATAAATTAAGTAATATACTCAATTGTTACATAAAATGAATGCTTAATAATTGCTTATTTTTTAAATAGGACTTAATGACATGATTCAGATGTTGCAACACTTGTGTTTACATATCATTTGTATCTTTTAGTTTTTTTAGCCTTTTTGCCATCATAGTATGGACAGATATGGACTTCCAACGTACAACGTATAGAGCGAGTTCACCATCCAGAAATGTCCCGTTAAAACATAATTAATATGAACTGTATCCAATTAAAGAAGCGTTGGTTAGAAGTTGATTTACGATTTGAGGAGAAAGATCTGGCTGCAGAAAGAAGACGTCATCCTACTGTAGGCTGCACCATAGAGACCATCCTGACCTTTACAGGTGCACCATAGAGACCATCCTGACCTTTACAGGTGCACCCTAGAGAGCATCCTGACCTTTACAGGTGCACCATAGAGAGCATCCTGACCTTTACAGGTGCACCATAGAGACCATCCTGACCTTTACAGGTGCACCCTAGAGAGGATCCTGACCTTCTACAGGTGCACCATAGAGAGGATCCTGACTGGCTGCATCACGGCCTGGTACGGCAGCTGCACCGCCCTCAACCGTAAGACTCTACAGAGGGTGTTGAAAACTGCAGAGAACATCACCAGGACGGAGCTGCCATGCATGGAGGACCTCTACTCCCAGCGGCTCAGGAAGAAATCCCTCTGGATTATAAATGACCCCCATCACACCAGCCACAAACTGTTCTGTCTGCTGCCGTCTGCCAGGCGTTGCCGCAGCATCCGGACTAACACCACCAGATTCAGAGACAGCTTCATCCCACAGGCCAGAAGACTGCTAAACGCCTGAGCTCTGGTGCCTCGATAAACATTCATCCGTTGTAATCTTACAATTGATTGATCTAAACAGTTATCAATCTAATAAACAATATATACATCTTACTGTACAATATTTAATTTTACATTATTTTCTTGTATATATCATATTATATGTACGTGTATATAGACTTCTTGCACTATTTTTGAATTTTATTTTTGTAATTTTGTTGTTGTTTATATCTTATATAACTATGTTGCATTGTTGGAGGAGCTCGGGACATAATGTTTTCATTGCCATTTCTACACTGTAGCTTATGTGCATATGACAATAAAACCTTTACATCTTTGAATTGAATTGAATTTGTATATCTATTTATAAATCTAAAATTCATTCAACCAAGAACAACAATTAGACACATCATGTTGGAACATACAGTTCTGCTTAAACAATTTCAAATACATCTCTTTTCCCTTTATTTACCAAAGAGCTTTATAAATATGATTTTTGAGTAAATAATGGGGAGATAGAGACTTTTGTAAAGTGTTAACAAAGAAATCCCTGCGGACACACTTTAATATGCACCCTCACTAATAAATGTATATTAAATCTCTACACTGTCACTTACGCCATGAATCCCATAATGAAGATATACTACCTTGGGCAAAGCAGGACTACATGACAACATGATTAAAAATATCATAGAAAAAGACACAGGAAGGAGATCACTTATCAGAATTATCAGACTTATCACAGATCCGCCATCACTCTCACATCATTCAAACAATCCCTCACAACTCACCTTTTCACTCTTTCATCAACTAACCCCTTGCCCTTATTCCTCCTACCTTAACACTTTCTACTTTTGTTGTTATTTTTGTTTTACTTGCTTGTAAGCACTTTGAGCACCAGGAAAAGTGCTTTATAAATGTAATGTATTATTATTATTATTATTATTATTATTATTATTATTATTATTAAGATACACATATTTGTCCATAACTAAAATGCAAAGTAATCCCGGGGAGAGAGACGGAGAATAGCTACCAGCAAGACCATGAATCCCCCTCTGGACCCGAACACCAGGTTTTCTGCAGGAATTTAGTTTGGCAGGCTTTTTTCATGTTTTTGAAGCCATGGAAGTTGAGATCTGACACTGACAAGTACAAAGGGATACCTGTGCCACAGCTGGGCTTAATAGACCAGCCTGAGAGAGGAGGAACACGGGATCAAAGACAGCTTCTCTGGGGGAAAGTCTAATGAACAGAGAGAACACATGGGCTCCCTCTCAGGTTGAAGTGAGCCCCTTTAATCCTGGGACAAGTTACTTTGAACTAAAAACCACTGGTGATACAAATCTATCTGAGCACTCTTTAATTATGGTGGTCCTTGACAGAGGCTTTTTTATGGATAATTGTTTTTATTTAATATAAATTAGACTAAACCCTGTTTTTGCATCATTTTCTCACTCAAGGGCTGGGTTTTGAAATCAGAATAAGAATCAGAAAATCTGAAACGTTGACATACTGTATAATTCCAATAAGAATAAATACTATCAGAATAAATTGTGGGTTCTGTTGACCTTATTTTTTCTTTACTAAAAGCCAACTGTGGCACGGCACTCCATAATTCTTTGGTAAGTGTTATAATTTTCCATTTCCAAATTCATTTTTGTCTGAATGTCACGTTTAGAGTATATTAGAGGTTATCAGATCACCTTGCCCTGGAGTTAGGAATGGCCCTTAATTAAAAAATGAAAACAGCTTGGCGCATTTGCCCTTTCGGTCAATCAGAGCGTGACAACGCCCTTCCTTGAGGGCTTAAGAGACGTGGAGAACTGCGCACCCAGGGATTTATGATCCTTCCCTGACTTAATGCAACTCCAAATCAGCAGACATTGCCAGCCAGAAGCTCTGATCTGTTGGGCCTTTTGAGACTTCTTTGCTATCTCATTTTCTCCATCCAATCTGTTCTGATTGGGGCTGTACTCTGCATTCTGAAACCCAGCTAGAGTTCATATTTAAATACACATTTCCACAGGGTGACCAGCACAACAGAGGATTTTTCTACTTTCCTTGCAAGCAAATTAAAGTAAATCAAGAACCCCTTCATAAACATTTCCTTATTGTCAAAAGAGGATTGTACATTGTGAAGGAACTTCGTCTCCAAGTAACTTTTATTTTTGTTTCATTTTCTTATAACACATTTCAGCTGCTGTATTTGAATGACCTTTACAAACGAACTTGTCAGCACTCAAGCACTGACACCAACTCTGAGTAGGTTTTTTTTTAAAACAGCTGGAATCATCCTCAGTGAGGGACACTTTTAAACATCATGAGAAATTCAAAATGACCCACCCTGTCAGGCAAATGAAGCATAAAATCAAAGAAAAGTGTTGACAATTTCCTACCAAGGCTGAGTAAATGAGCAATGAGGCCCGAATGTGATCAACTGATATTACAGGTGATTAGCGAAGGCTGTGATAAACTATCCATCTATTAAATCTGTTTCCTAAGGGTAAAGAAAATGGATTGTCGTCTCAACAGATTAAAGTCACCTTCTGGGCCCACTAATCTCCAAACCATTAGTCTATCTGCCTTCAGCAATATCTCTATCCCTGCCCCTCCATTAGGTTTACGTGTCATTGGATGTGGGATTCTCATCCACTTTGTTTTCCTGAGCTGTTAACTGTAAAAGCA